AAGTTTAAGTGACACTTATTGCCCCTTAGAATACTTTCACAATTACTAAACGTTTCTAGAAAACAAGTAAACTAGATGTGTCCCTAGTGGAAGCCTAAGTGACACTTGAAGCCCCTTAAGATGCTTTCACAAGTACTAACAAATACTAAGTTTCACTAATAAAACTTAGGAGAGGTAAGAGAACACCAAAGGTTTCCCAAGATAATCCTAGATGATCAAATACAAATACAATAAAAGCAAGGAATATAAAGAGTTAAGAAACAACAAAATACAAATGAGACACAAATGAAACGCAATTGAAATGCAATTCAAACAATTTAGAAAAAGACTTAGTGACAAATTTGGAGACGGATTTTGTGATGGATTGGCTTGCAATGGAAATTTTTTTCTCTAATTTCATTATTATTCCCTATTTTGAAATTTTCCCTACAAAAGGAACACACGAGTTAGCTTCACCAAAGTGTTTCACTCGAGATTTTAGGTACCTCAATTCCCAAAAGTTGCATCCCTCTTTGAAGTGGTTCCAATATATCTCAATTATCAACTTCTTTCCAAGTGTGAGAACTTGAAAATGAACCTATCAACACCAAGAATTAACAACCAATAAGAGAGTAGAAGCCAATAAAATCAAGACTAAAAAACATTATTAGAAGAGGCTAAACTCAAGTAGGAATAAATGTGACAAACTTAAAGAATATTAAAAGACATAAAACAGGAAATTAAAGTACAATTTCAACATTAGCTTTCAAAGGAATAATCCTAGGAATGACACTAAAGTTGATTATAAAATGAAACCAAAATTTGTCCTAAGTTTTTTTTAGAGATTTTAATGCGTTTTCAGCCACTAAACAGAGAGTAAACCAAAGGAAAAATACAAAAAATTACAAGGCCAAGTACTTTAAACTTTCTTTATTTTACACTTTTTTTTTCTAGCTTTTGCTTTTGTTTTCTTTTTTTCTTTTATTGCCTTCTTGTCTCTTTTTTTTATACACAGAATATGAGCAATAAATAGAGGCATAACAATGAATTAAAAAGGTTTACAAGTGGTGGAAAGGAGGAATAGGAAATGTAAGTGTACTAGACAAGTTTTTATTTTACTAATAACTAGTTTTGCTTCTAGTTTGTTCTCTTTTTTTGTACACTTTCTTTAATTTTTGTTTTACACTTTCTAATTTGATTGTATATCTCAAACAAAGTACAAAAGATTCAAGGAATTGTTGGCCTTAAATTGATAAATAAGAGTTAGCAAGTGAAGTTCACAAAAATAATGACACTAGAACATGCTAGATCTAATAACATGTATAAGAATCATTCAATGAACACTTCTAAGAATATTTATATGTGCAGCCAACAATATAAACAAACCAAAATAGAGACTAAAATTTATAAATTTCAAAAGATAAAGGCACGCAAAAGAAGTAATGACAAGTAAAGCAAATAAGCAAGACTTCTAAAACAAAATTAGGAGATTAAGAAAGGAAAAATGCATACAACTACTTGTTTTTCTTTGGAGTTTTCTTTTGACTTAAAATTTTAGAGTTTCAAACAAGATATAAGCAATCCTAAAGCATTAAAATTCAGGAACAAGATTAACCTAAAGGCACATAACAAGATTGATTCACAAAGATTGATGTATGAATTAAAAACATTGAAGACAAATTGATATGTTTTATAGATTTTTAGTTGTGACATAGTAACAGTTCTAATCCATACAAACACAATACAATCAAGGAGAAAACATATAGAACGAATTAAAATACTAAACAATATTTTTTGACTGAACAAAATTGAAAGAAAACTTAAGATAAGTGTTTACCAAGAAGACATTACTCTTGATACTAAATGATGGAAACCTTAAGGAGAAACTTGATTGATGAAACTTCTCCTTGTCGCAACCAAAAAATTTTCGATCTCGCGACTAATGGTTTAGACATCCTTTTAAAAGTCGCATCAATCAAGGAATGCCCAGACACCAGACTAATCCTTAATTAATGGTTTTGAAAAATGAGTTCATGGAGTCGCCACCAATATTTTACTCAAAACATTGGAAAAAGAAAAGGTTTTTAAAAATCCAATAATAGCCTTGATAACCAGAATTGGGTTCGGGGGTCGGTTACGTGCAGGGAAGGTATTAAGCACCCTTACAACGTCCTTAATTGGTACCTTATGATGAAGTTAACATTATAAATGATAATAATATAAATAATAAATCCCCTTTTATTAGTAATTATTTACATGCTTGAAATTTAAATTATATAATTAATCCTAAAATATCTACATGATTATTTTTATTATAACAATTTATTATAGAGAAGAAATAAATAAAAAAAAAAGAGAAAGAGATTAATTGGAATACCTCTTGAATGAGCTCTATTGAATCTTCAAAACAGGAAGATTTTAGGTGCTATGTGGCAACCCTTCACACTACAATGCCTCACAAAAATCTCAAGAAATACAAAAGAGAGGGGAAGAAAGAAAAAGAGAGAAATTTCGTGCTCTAAGGAGTCTGGACGAAATTTTGGAATCCCTCAGAAATGTGCCCAAGCTGTCTATTTATAGGCTTCAGACAGGGTCCAGAACGGCCCGTTCCGAAATCGGAACGGCCCGTTCTGGATCTGGCCGTTACGTGTTAATTTAGTGTATTGGAACGGGCTGTTATGAAATCGGAACAGCCCGTTCTAGAGGCGCGTTTAACACATAAATGCCATTCTGGAACGGCCCGTTCCAAATTAAGGATTTAAGCCTTTTTTGTTATTTGGAACGGCCCATTCCAATTTGGGAACGGCCCGTTCCAAATGTATCTTTTAGCCTTTTTTTAAAGAACCTGGAACGGCCCGTTCCAAATTTGGAACGACCCGTTCCGATTTTGGAATGGCCCGTTCCAGTTTAGGGTTTTAGGCTCTTTTTGTAAATTGGAACGGCCCGTTCCAGTTTTGAACAGCTCGTTCCGGGCTACTAAAACCAGCTTTTTTGGACTTTTAGCCTTCTGATGTCATGTCCTGTTATTTCCATGATTGGGAGCTCCTTTTCTTGATAATAGACATCCATTTCTTCGTTTGTATGCCCCTCGGACGAAATTGGGTGTCTACACTCCTTCAAGCTTCTTCCTAGATCTTTGACTTCTTGACACATTTTAAGTTTCTTCATGGTATCCAATCGAAAAGGAAACCTCTAGACTCACCTTTAATGGTGAAGAACTCTCTTTAAGTGGTGTTGCTTCAAGGAAGAAGATAAAATCACTTTAAATCACACCACACTCTTAGGAACAAGATAAGAGAATTGAAAGCAAATCAAAGAGAGAATTTATGCTTTTGAGAGAGAGAATTTGAGAGAAAAGTCTTGGCCAAACCCAGATATATGCTCAAAAGTGAGTTTTATATGTGAAGGAACCAATATATAGTGGTGGAGAAGCTTGAAGTGCAAGCTAGACAAGGTGGAGACAAGGTAGGAACACTTAGATATAGAAAAACTAATCATAGAATACCAAGTGTCACCTTGCCCCTTGGCAAATCAAGTGGCAAGGTGTGTTGGAGAAACTTGCAATTTTGGCTAAGGAGAAGGGAGGGGCGACCAAGCTTGCTTTCCTTCACTTAACCCAATCCAAAAAGTTGGAAATTAGTTTAGTTAGGTTCTCCAAATGATGATGAAACCTAGTTAAATCAATTTCTTTGATTAAATGGAGAAGAGCAAACTTAATATGTAAAATTTAACGTAGGCTCATTAAAGGGCCAATTGTTAGCTCCACCTACACAATTACTACCCCACTACTAAAACTACAAATATGAAAATCTATGACCCTTAGTATTAAGTCAAATGAAGTAAAAGTCTCCAAGCAACATATCCTAAAATTCTAAGGTTATGACCTATAAAGAAAGATAAAGATGTCTTACAAATACAAAGACAAAAATAAGTCTAAACGTGTATCTACTATGTACAATAGAAAAGAACTTAAACTATATAAGATATGTAAATTAGAGACTATGAGACTAAATAGAGAAATCATTCTCAATATTTATATAAAGCATAGGTCTAAAAAACATTTTTTTTTCTTTTATAGAAACTTTCTCAAACCTCCTAACCATAGACTTAATTAAAGATCCAGTAGTCTTTATGCGTGAATCTTCCATAGATGATCCTCCATCAATAAAACAAACGCATTATTTTAACTTTAAATAGTTGTTATAAAAAATCAAGCTAGGAGAAAAAAAATGACATCGGAAGCACTTGAACTTAATTTATTTATTCAACACTTTTATATCTTTTATCATTTCATGTAAATCAATTTAATTAAAGTGACAATATATGGATAAAGTATGACAAATTTCATTTGTTGCATATTATTTTCCATCTTCAATTGCTTTTTATTGTTTATCAATTGTGTATATTCCAAAAAGAAATTGTGTACGTAGTCTCACGTGAAATGGGAGGGGGACAAATTTTGTTTCATAAGTATTAAAAGAAAGTTAACGAGAGAAACTAAAAAATTAAAAAAAATATATAAGTATAATAAATTAAAAAAATTGTCTTAAATTACAAAAAAAAAAGATAAAAAAATTATATATAAAAGTAAAAATATTATTTTAAACTAGAGGAATTGAGACACTTCGTGTCTCTAATAGTTACACGTAAATAAATATTAGAAACTGAATATTTATTTAAAAATAATATAATATTTTTTTTAATCCAAAAAATATAATGATTTATTATAAAATAGAAACCAAAAAAGTAATTACTAAAATAAAATAAAAGTATATTAATAAAAATAAAATAATAAAAATATATTGATCTAATTAATATTATGATTAAATTCTTAAATTTAATTAAAAGATATTTTTTTTAGTTTTTTTTTAAAATATAATAGTAAAAAAAGTAAAAATTAAGGTAATTATTCAAAAAGATATATTTTTTTTATATATTAGTATAAATTATAGAGATAAAATAAAATAAATTATTTTAACCGATATAACTTGACGAGGCATTTATTGAATAAGGTGATTTGTTTCATTTCATTTGATGAGGCCTTCTTTCGCTACACATTTCTTCACTCTCTCTGTCTTTCTCGACCGTTCGACTCTTTCGACATTTTCCGAGTTGACTCAGATCCTAAGGTACTTTCCTTCTTGATTACACCTTTCTTCTGTTTGCGTGGTTTTATTCAGACGATGAATTTCATTTCGGAACTCGCGAACCTCAATTTCATGCAATTTAATCGTTTCTAGGGCACACATTTTGCCATTAACTGTTCGTGTTTATTTTTCGCCATGTGAGAATGTCTACCTCTCAATTTTGAGTGATCAATCGCGCGTGCAAAACCTAAATTGATTATGGTTCAATTCTTCACTTGAATATCTCATTATCAACTCACCTTGGCATTGTTTCGATATAATACAGTTGTTTGCATGGTTGCCCCTCTTAGATCTTACAAACACAATCTGTGAAATATGAAACTCTCTAATGTGATTGGGAATGTTATTTTTTGTTTGAATATTTAAGTCTACACAATCTGTTAAATATGAAAAGATTCATTTGCCTTTTTTTTTTTTTTTTAATTATTAATTTAAGAAAAGAGATTTTATTAGATAAAGGAGGGGAAGAAGCGTTAAGATTGCAGGATAGGGAATCTTCAACAAAGGCAGTAATACCAAAATGAGAATAAAAGAGACAAAAAGGAATCTCACTGAAGCTTGTTAGTAGTTTCTATAGGAGAGTTGTGCTGCCCTCCTTGTAAGGGTTAGAAAACCTGCTTCGGTATTTGAGTTTTGATTGTTCAACACTTTGCACAAACATTGATTTCTATTTCATTTATTTGTTATCTCCAATAGTTGTTTTATGAGGTGCCCTCTTCTTTAGTCTCTGTTTCCCACCTCATAACCTTCTGCATTTTTCCTTTTAGGTTCCTTATTTTTCACTGGAATGGTTGAAATTATATGTTTTTGTATTCACAAGAGTGTTGCTTGGAATGAGAATTAGCGTGGTGTTCATAGTTTACTTTTGAAATAAGTAAACGTGAATATGTAATGAATATTTTAATAGCATTTCTAACTGTGGTACCTTTACTATAATGTCACACTCTGTCGTTAGGAAACAAAAAATTAGAACAAAAATGAGGGCTTTATTCAATCCAAAACCAAGCTCAATGAGCAGATAACATACAAGAACCACTACCTCTTCCAGAGCAAAAGCTCCTGCTCCTTGGAGGTAATACTTTCTCTGCCCAGCCAAAGGGCCTAACAACTAGAGAACAAAACATAGATACAGTACTATAGATACTAGGTACACAGACATCTAATGTAACTCCTTATTACACACATTACTGGGGTGAAATTATAATTTTGATCATTGAACAACAGTATACTAAAATTGCAATTAAATAAAAGTTTAATTAAATGTTACGTGGGTTAGGATAAGTATATATTGAAAAGACAAAGAAAGTCTCGGATTGAGTTTTGGGACACTGTGGGTGGTTTCAATTTGAAGCACATCCCTGTGTGCATTTTCATCGTCATTTCCTCTTTTTCTCTGCCCTTGGAATCTCTCTCTCGGTAAGGTACTCTTTCTCTCTCTCTCTCTTTTTTTTTTGTATATTGTTTTTTATTGCAGCTCTTTCCTGCGTGTGGTTTGGGTTTTGAGATGAGGGGAACATTTTGTTATTGATCTTAGATAGGGTGCTGGATAAGTTGCTAGCTAACTGCAGAACTGTCTTGTACTAATTATGAGTTTTTTTTTTCTCTTGGTTTTTGGATATTTGAGTGAATTTAGGGTTCTGTTTTTTTGAAATGTATGAGTGAATTTTGGGTTAAATTGATTCTAACCTATATGATATATTTAAATATTGTATATGTTGTTGGTTTGTGTATATGAGATAGTGAGATGGTATTGGAAAGAGAATCTGCTGGGTACATTTTTTATTTTTGGTAATTTTTAAACCTTATTATGATTTGTTCAATGTTTGTAGTTTCATCACTGTTTTAACTTATGAAGCAACACTATTTTAGAGCATTGCACTGCTTATATACATATAATTTATAGACATGTTGGAAACAGACTCTTTTATACTCCACGAGTATGATCTCGTGGTTGGCTTTTGGAATGACTAAATACTGATATCAGACCATGTCTTAATATCATCCAAGTATGTCACTTATACTCTAATTTCACACACAATTTAGTAACCTGTTTTGGAATAAATAATCATTATTTTTGTTGTATACCCGAGACAGTTTTGAAAATAAATGAATTATTTCCCTAATAAAGGCAGTGCCCAAACATGTTGCATGTTCCATTTTGTTCTGTTTTGCCGTGTTGCTATTCTGTTGAATTGCGTTTTGTTGGTTCTCTGTGTGTGTATTCTTCTTATGTTTCCATTTATTATGCTTATTCCTCTGTCCATGTTGTATGGTGGCAAGAAATAGAGGAAGCATTTGTTATTGTCAAAATTCCTATTATATATATTACACTCTTTTTATTTTTTATTTTTTTATATTTTATATCTTTAACACTTTTAATCAACCTATTAAGTTTCAAATGGTTTGACTTTATATGATTTCAACAGTGAACTACACACAAAGACACAGTGAATTAATTGATTCATTCATCACATAACAGCAATACATCCATGATTTTTCTTTTTCTGCCTTTGGTAAGTTACTCAAAGCTAATTTGTCAGTGTGTGAGATGTTGCATGAATATATTGTGGACGCGGTTTTAAGCAATTATCCTTTGTTTTGTTGAGTTTACCTGTTTATTTATCTTTATTTATTTTCTATTGTGTCACCGGTAATGGGTTTCAGGGTTTCAAGGCGTATAATTCTTCCTATTCCTGAAGTCTTGGTGCATCGCTTTCTTTTCCTCATTAACTCTGTAAAGCAATAACATTTTTTGTATATTTTATTGAACTGTTGCAAATGACTGTATTCTTAGATGGCCTATAAATTTTTTGCTTTGTATTCTGTACTAGTTATTTAGGATTGTTCTATGGTCTCATAATTGTCAAATTTATTTGGCTGTCAAATTGGCAGAACAGATTAATGGCCAATTGTTCTCTTTTTTTTTATATATATTTTTTTTGGGAGGAACTATATGACTTTTATTGGTTATTACTACTTGTAAATCTACTCATTTTAGTTTGAGTAAGTTCTTGGTTTGTGTATATGAGATAGTGAGATGGTATTGGAAAGAGAATCTGCTGGGTACATTTTTTATTTTTGGTAATTTTTAAACCTTATTATGATTTGTTCAATGTTTGTAGTTTCATCACTGTTTTAACTTATGAAGCAACACTATTTTAGAGCATTGCACTGCTTATATACATATAATGAAGTAATTGAACGGTAAGGTTGCTGCTTAGTGACCAAGAGGTCACGGGTTCAAGTCCTGGAAACAGCCTCTCCGCTTGCGGGGGTAAGGCTGCGTACATCTACCCTCCCCAGACCCCACTAGGTGGGAGCCTCGTGCACTGGGCCGCCCTTTTAATTTTTCATTGCTTCTGAATCTTAAGATTCGATACAAATTATGATTCACGATTCAAAAATTAGGTCGGCAATTTACAATTTGAATCCTAATTTGATAACCATGTACTACATGTTAGTTTTATCCCCAGCTAAAATAAATCTCCCTTTCTCTTTGATGCACTCATGGACTAAATAACCTGCCCTTTCTCATGTGATCCATCCCCTCAAATGGCAACAACTTACCACCTCTTCCAACTGATTAACTTATGACCCTTCTAATTCTTTTCACCCTACATTTTCCAAATTGTGGTCTAGTATACTAAATTCTTTTCTCTATCAGAGTTTGAACAAGGGATTATATCACACTCAATATAAAAAGAATAGTATTGTAAGAACCTATGTTTTTCTGATCTGTTCAAAATTTCTATGTTAGACTTGCATTTTTTATGATTTGTTATGTGTGTGCCATGTTAGGCTATTCGGTTTTAAATTTGGTTGTGTTCTTGTCCTGTTATTGGCCTAACTTATATTTGCCGTTCAATTTGCTGAACTGATAATTTATTATGTTTTCTTTTCTTTTGGAATAAAATATGCTACCACCATTGGTTATTACTCATTACTGCTTGTAAACGTATCAATAGCTGCAAATAGTGTAGCTATCACACTGTAGAGTGGGGTGTAGTGTACGTAGCTGCTGGCCACTACAGGAAACTCATAGCATTGCTTTTTTGCCATGCAAATAGAAACCGGATCAAGGAGGATAGTGCTGCTATTCATTGTTTGCACCTCTGCTGGCGCCTATCCATTTTCCGGTCAAACCATTCTAGTTCTACAGACCCGTCCAACTATTAATTGCTTTGGAAGTTGTCATAGGCTTTTTTCATGCATTATCCTCTAGTTACAATAAAATACAATAGATGAGTACTCATTTTATGTGATATTTTATCTTAAATATTTTATCTCATTTATTTACTATTAAATACATAAAAGTATATAAACCCAATAACTAGGATTAGTAACTGATTAGAATCAGGGTTTTAAATAGCACGCTATAGCAGTGTGAAGTGGCCCCTTCCTGCTACAAATGCTGCTGTAGCAGAGCAGCCGTAGCAGTCCAAATAGCAGGCTGAATAACATCCGTAGTGGGCACTATGGGTTGATTACCAAAAATGTCCCTTTAATAGAGACATTAGGGCTTTTTCGGAGGGTTATTTTTGGAATTTTAATTTACAAAAATGAAATCTATACATCTAATAAGTGAAAATGATAAAGAAGACTTGGATTTAGAATATGATGTTGAGTCATGATTCTATCTGGGAAACTTGTACGTTTTGTTTAAGACACCTATGACTTTTTTTGATTAATTATGAATGCCATTAATTTTGTTTAATTTTTTTAATCTTTTTTGAGACTTTAAATGTATATAGTTTACATTATATAAATTATTATATAAAATTTTTCAAAATAATGGTTATCCTGCTATACACTATCTTGCTATAGCAATTTTGGGATTGGCCACTATGCACTTCCATCTAGGATTTAAATCATGATATGAATGAAGAGTGAGTAGGTACTAGATTTAAAAACAAAAATAAAAAAGAATTCAGCTCAAGTTGAGCTTTTGAATGAAGTGATTTCTTGAAATATTGTTAAAAGCTGATTGAACATGAATTTATCTTAGAACTGCCTCATATTAATAAAGATTCAAATTTCAATAGAATCATGGTTTTAATGTTTGTACAAGTGGTTTTAATTTTGTTCTTGTTCCTTGCATTAATTCCAATGGCTTTACACAATAACAGAATTTCTAAATACCTTGCTTTGGCCCTTGTTTATCCAGCTTTTAGGTCAAATGGTTCAGTGACTGCTGATACTTTCTTTCCTATTTTTTTATTTTTATTTTTGTCATTCTCAACCACCTTAATTGAATTGTTTGTCATTTCTTTTTATGGTTAATGTGAAATATCAATCCATACTAAAGTTGTTGATTTTCTCTTTATTATCTTTATTGGCTGTAGTTAATTTTTCCATTGGCATCAACCGTGCTAAGTTCCTATATAGCATGGATCTTGAAGACACCAAGATGGGCACTGTGAATCCCCCTGAAATGTCTTCTAATCTTATTTCATCAGGAAAAGATGAGATAATGGGTTCTGAGAATCCTCCAGAAGTGTCTTTGAATTCTCCGTCTTCAGCAAAAGATGGTACGATGGGCACTTCAAATCCTACTGAAGTGTCTTCTAATTCTCCACCTTCGGGAAAAGATGATATGATGGGCATCGACAAACCTCTATCATCAGGAAAAGCTGATATGAGTGCTGAGAATCCTCTTAGAGTATCTTCTAATTCTCCTGAAGAATCTAGTAAACAAGATTTGAGTGAAAAGAATATTCCTCAACCATTGAAGGCAAAATCTAGAATTGTTAAGAAATCTCAGGCAGGTAAACTTAAGGCCAAGAAGAACAGCAACATGGGTGTGAATCCTCCTGAAATGTCCTCTATTCCTCTGTCATCAGGAAAAGATGAGATGATGGACACTGAGAATCCTCTTTTATCAGGAAAAGATGGTGTGATGGATACTGAAAATACTCCTGAAGTGTCTTCTAAATCTCCTTTATCAGCAAAAAAGGGTATGATGGACACTGCAAATCCTACTGAAGTGTCCTCTAATCCCCTGCCTTCCGAAAAAAATGATATGATGAGCACTGAGAATCCTCCATCATCAGGGAAAGATGATATGGGTGTTGAGAATCCTCTTGAAGTGTCTTCTAATCCTCTTCCTTCAGCGAAAGATAACATGATGGGCACTGAGAATCCTCCGTCATCAGGAAAAGATGATATGGGTGCTGAGAATCCTCTTGAAATGTCTTCTAATTCTCCATCATCAGGAAAAGATGGTATGATCAGCACTGCAAATCCCACTGAAGTGTTTTCTAATCCTCCATCATCAAAAAAAGATGATATGATGGTCACTGAGAATCTTCCTGAAGTGACTTCTGATCGTCCATCTTCTGGAAAAGATGATAGAAAGGATACTGATTCTCCTGCAGGATCTAGTAAACCAGAGTTGACTGGCAACAATGCTCCACAATCATTGAAGGCAAAATCTAAAATTGTTAAGAAATCTCAGGCAGGAAAACTTAGGGCCAAGAAGAACAATGGTTCTCAACAGATTTGTGGGAAAAGAAGAATTGTGACTTCAAAAAATGTGGTGGACAAAGCTGAATGCTGTCATAATGCAGATGAGAGACAAATTTCAGACAATAGTGAGCTCAAGGAAACTAATGATGAACCACCTAAGGAGAAGAGTAAGGAGGCTGAAAATAAAAGGAAAGAAAGTCAAAATAGGAGTACTAGTGACAAAAGTCCCAAGGAAGAGTCAGATGGTAACCAGCAGAAGGACACTGATTCTCCTGAAGAATCTAGTAAACCAGAGTTGAGTGACAAGAACACTCCTCAATCATTGAAAGCACAATCTCAAATTGTTAAGAAATCTCAGGCTGGTAAACTTAAGGCCGAGAAGAACAACGTTTCTCTACAGATTCGTGGGAAAAGAAAAGTTAGGACTTTCAAAAAAGTGGTGAACAGCACTGAAAGTTGTCATAATGCAAATGTCAAACAAATTTCAGACAATAGCCAGGTGAAGGAAACTAATGGCGAACCACCTAAGGGGAAGAGTCAGGAGGCTGAAAATAAAGTGAAAGAAAGTCAAAATGGGAGCACTAGTGACAAAAGTCCTAGGGAGAAGAGCCAGCAGGCTCAAACAACTAAGGCCAGTCAGTTGGATAAGACTGAAAAAAAACTAATGAGTAAAGATAAGCATAGGGAATCAAATAAGGGTTCTTCTAGGAGTAGAAAAACCAAAGAGATGAGAAGTGACATGGGTCAGTTAAAAGGCCATAAAGGTGAAAAGCTTGGTGGTTTCATCTTTATGTGCAATGCAAAGACGAAGCCTGATTGTTTCCGCTATCGTGTCATGGGTGTTTCGGCTGGAAAAAAAGATGATGTTTTACAAATCAAACCTGGGTTTAAGCTTTTTCTTTATGATTTTGATCTGAAGCTACTGTATGGTATTTACAAGGCTTCATCTTCTGGTGGCATGAAGCTTGAACCCCGAGCTTTCAGTGGAAAATTTCCTGCTCAGGTTACTTTCTTTCATTTTCCTGTATAATTATCCTGATATTTTCTTTGATTTTTATGTGCTGATGGTTGACACCTTCAGGTGCGGTTCAACATATCTTCTGATTGTTTCCCACTACCTGAGAGCATTTTCAAAAAAGCCATCAAGGATAATTATGATGAAAAACACAAGTTCAGAACAGAACTTACCGTTAGACAAGTAAGGATTAAATTTTACCTCTGGTGTGGCCTGTCCATCTGTTTCTATATTTCTTTATGATGAATATTCAAAATATTCTGTTTCAGGTTAGGAGGCTCACTCAACTTTTTCGACCAGTTGGAATTCATTCAGCTGTTCACCCTGACCACACCCAGCCAAAAGTAATAATTCGAGATAGGGAATCTCCTGATGGTATTAGGGGATCAAGGTCCCATTTGCAAAGGGAAAGATATAATGTGCAGTCTCTTGATAGGGATCATCAATTTGACCAGCGAGAGGAAATTAGTCATGATCTGTTTCGAAGGGAGAACTACCGAGTGTATGATCTACAACGAGATAGAAGGAATGTGACTGTCACTTCTCATGTTAATCCAATATTGGAATCTTATGAGGGAGATTATGAACCCCGTCACCTGGACCGCAGCTACCTGGGTAATGTCCCTGCTCGTGTAGAAAGTCGTCGAACTGATCATCTTAATTTGAATGACCGTAGGGATCCATACCACACCTATCGTCGTGGTGCTTCTCCTAGGGATGCATATTTGACACCTTTAAGCAGGGAAGAAATCTCGCCAAACTCTTATTTGGTTGGGGGAAGACCTTTTGTTGGCATGGATAATATGCCTAGGAGAGAGACTGTTCAACATAGGCGTTACTCAATATATTCTGCTGATGATGATTTGTCTGGTTATAATCGAATGCGGCCATATCATGGAGATGGTTTGGAAGCACGTACGGGGGCATATCATGGAGATGATCTTGAAGCACGTGCACCAGTTTCATCGCGATACACTTTTTCTGGCCCTTCATTTCGTCGTCGCTGACTTGATATGTATTTTTGAATCCCTAGACTTGTGTTCCTTACTACTATCTTTCAAATTGTGGTGACTGACTGGTAGATATTAAAAGACTATGAAGTCTTAAGTACTTGAGCACTTCTGGATTTGGAAAAGCATTTCTGACTGGTGAGATTTGAGTTCATGCAGATTACCATTTGAAAACTTGTTGATTAACAATCCCGACACTGTTTAATGATTGCCAATGGAACTTCAGATGAGAGTCCAGTTTGATATAAATTGATTACCGGTGTGAAATGGGGTTTTGTGGCTACTTACAGGATGCTGCTTTAGTGAATAGGAAGATAGATAAGCATCGTTTCAGTTAATGAAAATAAATGTTGCCGTAGTTTGTACTTGTAGGTTGGTAATTTGGGGAAATCATATACAAGAGCAAAGAAATCCCTTGCAAACTTATGCTAGCAATTGGATAGCTTCTGGTGTTACTGTAACTGCCTTACCTTGGAGGTTGAAGGGTTTATGACTGCTCGTCATTTTTAACATTTTTTTGTCCTTTCCTCTCGTTGCACTTATTTAGCAGTGAACTAATTGGGTCCCAAAGAAATCATTGCTTTTGTAAATCTTCCAAACCATGCTCTAGGGAATTGCTTAAGACCATATAATGCTTTCTTTAGGAGACATACCTTGTTTCTTTCATTATGCACTTCAAAACCTAGGGAAATCTCTATGTACACTTCCTCTCCCATATCTCCATGAAGAAAGGCATTCTTCACAGCTAATTGGTGTAAGTCCCAACCAAAATGAGCAGCTAAAGCAAGAACAACTCGAACTGTATTCATCTCTGCCACTAGGGCAAATGTCTCCCCATAGTCAATCCCATAAGTTTGGGTGTAGCCCTTTGCCACCAATATAGCTTTATATCTTATTATCCCATCTGTCTTATGTTTCACTATGAATATCCATCTACACCCTACAACCTTTTTGTCTCTTGGTTTATCAACAATCTTCAAGTTGAATTTCTTTCTAATGCATTCATCTCTTTTCTCATGGCTTGAGTCCAATTTTCAATTTTCATGGTTTCCTATATTGAGGTAGAAATTTCTGTGGCATTAATGGCAGCAACAAAGGTTTGGTGCTTATTAGAGAGATTATTAGTGCAAACATATTGAGAAATGGGATATTTAACACATAACCTTCTTTTCTTTCTCAATGCAATGGGTAAATCCTTAGTAATACTTACTTCCTCACTATTATCTTCAGGGATCCTCACCTCTAGGTTAGACAATTCTTCTTGCTCTAAAGTCGAAGTGGGTTATTTTTTTCTTTTATATTTTTGCCAAAAAATTTGTCTTCCTTTCTCATTGTGAACCATGGTAGCTTCATTGCTTAGATCTAGGGCATCCTATAAAGACAAATATGGTAATGACAAGAAGGATAGCTCCTCCATTTCAAGTGCTTGCTCCCCTTGAAGTGGAGGTTTAACATAAAAGGCTTGTGTTTCATGAAAGGTGACATCCATCGTGATAAAGACATGACGACTCTGAGGATGATAACATTTGTATCTTTTTTTATTAGAAGGATACCCAATAAAGACACATTTAAGAGCTTTAGAATCTAATTTAATACGATTATGATGATGAGAGTGAACAAAAATAATACATCCAAAGAGTCGATTAGGTAGACTTGATACCAGGGGCAAAAGGGAACAAAAGATAATAGAGACTCTATAAGACTAATTCCATTTAAGATATGAGTGGGTAACCTATGAATGAGATACGTGGCAGTTAACACAACTTCTCCCTAGTAAGTTTTGGGAACAAATATTTGAAAAAGAAGAGCTCTATCTACTTCAAGAAGATGACGATTCTTTCTTTCTACAATCTCGTTTTCGTGAAAGATGTTTACACATGTTAGTTCATAAACAATACCATTATGAGACAAAAAATTGAGAAATTCATGATTTACATATTCAATACCATTATCAGACTTGATTCTTTTGATATTTTTTCCAAATTGATTTTGGACAAGACGGAAAAAATTAACAAAGATTTGAAAAGCTTATGATTTATTTTTCATAAGGTATGTCCATGTGACACGAGTACAATCGTTAATAAAAGTAACGAATCATTTGGCTCTAGAAATAGATTCTACGATAGGTCCCCAAATATCAGGGTGAATTAAATCAAATGGAGAAGTACTCTTTTTATTACTAATATGATAAAAAGTACGATGATGTTTTGATATTGGAAAATATCACAATTAAAAGACTCAACAGAATCCCTAGTAAACAAATGAGGAAACAAGGATATGATAAGGTTGAATGAAGGATGTCCAAGCCTTTTATGATGTGGCCATATCTGGGAATTTTCCCACGTCTCAGATATAGCTTGTTAACTTATTATCTTTGTTTTGTTTTGGTCATCAGACTCTAACATATACAATCCACTATACTCCTTAGCAGTCAAAATTGTCTTCCTCGTGGCAAGGTCCTGAAAAACACAATGAGTTAAGAAAAATGTTACTAAACAATTTAAATCATTTATGAGCTTTTGTACAGAGATAAGACTATTAGCTATTTGTGGAATATGTAAAACATCCTTTAATACAATAGATGATTTCAAAATTATATTCCTAGAGTCGCATATGGGTACACCCTGACCATTCGCAATTGTAATAAGTTCTCTATTCCTTTTAATATATGATTTGAAGATCATATGAAAGGGTGTCATATGATCAGTTGCTCCTGAATCAAGAATCCAAATAACTTGAGACACAGGACCACCAATATGGAGAGAACTCTTACCTTTCATGGACATAGTACATGGTCTAGAGGGCTTACTTATTGATTCAATCATTACTTTCAAACGATCTAGTTCCTTCTTAAAAGATTTCATATCAAGATCTGATGGTGGTGAAGTAATGGATAGATTGATGGCTTCAATGATTTTGTTTATGGCGACAACAATGAGTGGGGTACACCAAAAAAGGAGGAAAAATTCAAAACTCAAATCTACTAGAATCTAAGCCAAATGGGACATCACCGACCCGTGGAATGGACTTAGGAGGCTCTAGTGACCAGTTCTGTGACGGTGGCAGCAAATGGGTCTCATTGGAGCTAAGCATCTGGGCTACACGCACTGGCAACGGTGGTGGCGCGTGATGGCGCATGGCAGTATTTTTCACAAAGTGACTTTCACCGTTGTGTTCGCCAGAGTGGGACACACCTTTCTGCCCTATCAACAACCTTTAAAGGCTACAACAACAGCTGTAACGTAGCAAGTTGTTTCAGAAGGCCCAAAAGCCCAATATGAGTGATTTAGTAGCCTAGAACGGCCGTTCCTAATCTGGAACGGGCCGTTCCAAACTATTAAATTGACCTGTAAATCGTAGTTGAGAACGGGCCGTTCTGGATGGAGTACGGCGGTTCTGAAGGGAGTACGGGCCGTTCTGGATGGAGAACGGACCGTTTTGGATGAGTTCCAGAACGGGCTGTTCTGGTTTCAGAACGGGCCGTTCTGCATGTGATTTTTACACATGATGAAGGGGTGCAAAACGGGTCGTTCCGGATTCGGAACAGGCCGTTCTGGTCACTCCTGAACTTCTATAAATAGGGGTTGGGTGGTTGAGGAGAAAATGAGGTTTTTAGAGAGAAGTTTTAGAGAGAAGGACTCTGGGTCTGTGAGCTCCTTTCTCTCCTAAATTTCTTTGTATGATTCTTTTTTTCCTCTAGATCACTAATGCCTTCTGTCTTTTCTTGAAATTCAGATTAAGAAGCTTGCTTTGGGTGTTCCGGGTTGAGCTTCGGAAGGAAATTCTACTTTTTCTTAGTTATTGGCTATTTTGAGCCAATCTTCATGTGAGGGAAGCTAGAATGTTTGTTGTTTAAGTTGCATGTGAGTTTAGAAACTCAATTGATGCATGAAAGTTGAGGATCCATGGCTGGATTGGAGAATTCGCTCATTTTTTGGGATTTTGGGAAAAATAGGGTTTTTGGTGAATTTGATGCATGAGATGGGTGCATGTTGATTTTGAGTTTGTTTTGTGTTGTATGGAGCCTATGCATTGTGTTTTTGTGGTTGCAAATGGTTGGATTTGTTAGTTTGGATGAGAGTTTTGAACTCTCTGACTGGGATTAGGCTAGGCGCAGGTTGAGCGCCAGACGTGGAAGAGCTTAGGGCTCTCAGGCTGGATATTGGGCCAAGCGTGATTTGGTTGCGTCAGGCGTGGAGACTCTTAGGAGTCTCTGTCTCAAGAACACCGTGAGTTGAACGTGCCGGGTGTGGATGAGTCTTAGGACTCTCAGGTTGGGACTAGGTTGGGCGAGCTCAGGCTGCGCTAGGCGTGAACATGTTTATGAATGAAATGATGCTAATGCATGTTAAGTTGAAGTTTTGGATCATGTATGTATGATATATGATGTATGCTGAGGTGTGATTCATATGTATGCATAATGATGATATATATGAATGTTTAAATATGATATGGCATGAGTATATGTTCATATGTGTATGATTATTGATCATAATGGTGGGTAGATCATGTATGATGTATGATGCATTATTGCATGTGATGTCTTATGACATGTGTATGATTATTGATCATAATGGTGGGTAGACCATGTATGATGTATGATGCATTATTGCATGTGATGTCTTATGACATGTGTATGATTGTTGATCATGATGGTGGGCAGACCATGTATGATGTATGATGCATAATTGCATGTGATGCCTTATGACATGAGTCTAGCCTAGGACTTGAGGAGAGGAAAAATGTTTTCGAATTGGAAGAGCTCACATAGAGTCGCTTGAGAGTGGTGCTTGGATAGGCCATTGATATATGAGAGTGGTACTCTGGTTGGCCACTAGATTTGGGAGTGGTGCTCAAGTAGGTCACTGGGTTGGGTGAGTCTCCTCTAAGTCCTTAGCTAGTGTTGGAGCGGGGTATGAGGTCGAGGGTTATTCCCTTAACCAAGTACTCGGGAAGGTGCGTGGATCCTTGCGGATAGTCAGTGGCCAAACTCCTCAATTGACTTGGTTATGCATGCCAAGGTCGTGGTAAGCCCGTACCCAGCTGTGCTATACCTGACAGTGGATCTGGACTTCAAATTGTGTAAGTGACATCATCCGAGTAAACCCGAGTGAGGATTATATCCTGTTTAGTTGTGACCGAGCGGGCGCATTGGGCGTGAAAACGGTTGGGGTGGTTTCGGTAGGATGGGATGTCACATATACAACTCTGTTGTTAGGGAGATCTCCTAGGTGTATGCGTGACGACGCATTAAATGATTGATATGCATTGATATCTATCATGAGATGCATTTATTGCATGATTATTAATATGATGAAGTGTGTGGTGTTTGACTTCATGATTGGTGGATTGTATTTTATGCATGAGTAGTATTGGATAAAGTGTATGGTGTGACTCTATGAATATGATTGATAGTTGGATGATTGTGTAGTATAGATTATTGTTCAATACTTGTATGATTGATTTTTGAACTCTAGCTTACCCTTCTGTTTCCATGTGAATGGACTGCGAT